CTAGAAATAGAACCACACATATATGGTCCACTGAGTTTTGAAAGATTATTTAACATTAGCATTTTATAGAATATAAACTCAATTCAAGAGCCGAGGAAGAGATAGTGTTAAGATTCCATTTTTTTATACAAGTTTATTTATTATGTCATTGATCACCCATTTTAAAATACATACAACTAGCTACAAAAGCAGAGCAAGATAATGTGTTAATATCTGTACAAAATTCATAACTAGCATTTGAATAATTTAATACATATAACTTACTGCTGCTATAACACAGAACAGTGGTGGTGAACCTGTGTTGCAGAGGGCTGTATCACGGAAAGCTCTGAAAGGCTTGCCATCACTGACATAGAACATCATTTCAATGTAGCAAAGTGTATATACATATGTTCCCATTGGATACTGGTGAAATATATTTGTCCCTCCCAACTTTAATTCTCCTGAATAATCAACTTTTGACCCTACAGATACCTATGGTGCCATGGAGCATGTCTTTTCTCTTTAGTGTTTCCTATGATATCTTCCATGGAACAACAGCCTCTTGTGAAATACTAATAGGTATAATATAACCAAATAAATCTGGGAAAAGATATGTCTATGCTTTTTTATAGATTCACAATGCACAGTCATATGTTAGTGGCTCACAAAAAAGAAGATTTTTAATCCATTGTTTTTAATAATCATTTCACCATGAAATGTCTTTTGTCTACCATGCTCCTATCAGTTTCAGGTACAGCAGTGTTCTATAGAAAGCAAAGATCATGACAAAAATTCAACATGAATTAGTGGTTAATGGTCTATAAAACAAGCACCAAAGTTAACAAATATATTTTTAAATTCAAAGATAGTTACAGTTTAACTATGCACTCCTCCTTTTCCAGAAAAAAAGTATGTAGAGTCCTAAACCTTGCTGCCTCAGAATGTGATCTTATTCAGAGATAGGGTTTTACAAAGATAACTGAGTTAAACTGGGGTATTAGGTGGGCCCCAATTGAGTATGACTAACGTCCTTATAAAAAGTGGAAATTTAGACATGGGAAAGAGACATGCATAGGGGAAGACAATGTGGAGAATGCCATCTATGAGGCTACAAGAAGCTAAGAGAGGAATGGAATTGATTCTTCCTCACGGCTCAGAAGAAACCAGCTCTGTTGACATTTTGATTTGAGATTCTTCCAGCCTTCATAAACTTGAGGAAATAAATTTCTGTACTAAGACATCCAGTATGCTGTACTCCTTTACAACAGCCCTGTGAAACTAATACAGGCATATCATCATCGCCATCGTCATCATTTCCACTATTTGTCATGCTGCAGATCAAATCCAGGGCTTTGCACATGCTAAATATGGGTTTACCCCTGAGCTACACTCTTAGTTTCAGACATATTATTATCTACTTCATACTTACATACACTTGAGTAATAACAATAATATTAACATATTATTATATTACTATAGCAAAACAAAGGGGATTATAGAACAAGGTCTTCTATCTCCACTAAATATGCTGTCCTTACTAGACTAAAGTTAAACTGTAAATTTAAAAGTACTAGGGGCTCAATCACTCTCCTTGGAATTGTTTTAATATACAGGTTTTGTTTTTCTACTTCTTTTCCTAAGTGTCCTTTACTGTAGTGCCTGTTTCTTCCTTAAAATAAGGAATGTACTAAATGATAAAATACAAACTTTGCTCCCATTTTCATCTTATAAATCTGACATAAATCTGAAATTTATCATGATCACTAATTGACTTAAAATTTGAATATAGAAAAAATTTTAATTAGTGAAAAATAGTTTTATTCTGAAAATAAAACTGGAGCTTGACTCAGAAAGCTGTTGTCAGGAAAAAGGAATAAGCAAATAAATTGGTATAATCCTTTTGAGCCTATTTTTGAAAAGAAATTTAAGAGATTAGATCTAGAATGTCTTTGAATTGTTCTTCTCTTTCCTGACAAAAATAATGGACTGCTAAGGATTTGCAGAAAATAATGGACTGTTAAGGATTTGCAGATCTGTGGAAGAAAAATGGTAAAAAGCTTCTACTATTAGGTTGTATATGTGATGGTTAGTTTTATGTGTCAATGTGACTGCCCAGATTTGCTTAAACATTATTTGTGTTTCTGAATGAAATTACTATTTTAATCGATGGACCCAGTGCTATAGTTTGGATATGGTTTCAGTATGGGCAAAATTGGGGGCAAGGTTCATGCACAGAAATTTAATCCCCCTTGTGAAGTATTTAGAGGGTGGAAACCTGATCTGACTATGGTGTTTAGTGAGGTGGGGCCTTTGAGAAGATTAAACTCAGATAAAATTATTAGGGTAGAGTTTCGTGATTAAATCCTAGTGGCTTTATAAGATGAGGGACACAGAAGAGCTGCGTGTACATTCATTCCTTCTCTTGTCTTGCATTGCTTCAGGACTCTGTCAGCAAGAAGGCTGTCACCTGATGTGGCAGCCCTGTCTCAACTCTGTACTTTCAGAACCATGAACCAAAATACACCTCTTTTATTATACCTACTCTCTGGGAGTGTGTTATTACAAAAAAAATAGACTAATACTATAAGGCAGACTGCCCTCCCCAAAGCAGATGAACTTCAACCAACTGACTGAAAGCTTGGATAGAATAAAAGCTGAGTAAAAAGAGACTTCTTTCTCTTTGCCTACAAGCTGGGATATAGGTCTTCTCTTGCCTTTGAACTGAAACTCAAGCTTGAACTTGGATTTGGATATAATAGCATCAGTTGTCATGGTTCTGCAGCCTTTGAGCTCAGGCTGGAACAGTAACATCAGCTCTCCTGGATGTGCAGCTTCCTAACTCTAGACCTTGGACTCTCGGTCTGAACAATTTTGAGTCAATTCCCTACACTAAATTTCATTTTAATATACATATATAGAAGATACAGAATTTAGAGGAACATATACGGCTAACAATATCACTAAACCATATTTTGCTCTAAACACATGTTAAGTCAATACTTTGTCTCCCTAAGAATTATCTATACTATATGACAAAGAATCTGTTTTAGGGCTGGGAGTGCAGCTTAGTGGTAGAAGCCTTGCTGGGCATGTGCAAAGCCCTGGGTTCAACTCTTAGCCCTTCACACCCTAATACTGTATAAAGCATTGTCAAACTACTGTCAATCAATTATATGTCTGAAACTCAAAGCAGGGCTTTGGGTAACTGTGAATGAAAAAGGAAAAATTTTCCATATTACAGTCAGAGATGAAAAAGAGAGCGAAAGAAGTTACGAACGTAGCTCAGTGGCAGGGCACTTGCCTAGCATGTACAAGGCCCTGGATTCCTTACCCTGCACCATAAATAAACAAAAAATTAATTAGGTTAAAAAGAAAGCCAATATAGCCATATAAAGCTGGCTCACTATGCAAGAACAACTTTCCCTGATAAGGAGAATTCAAAGTATAAATTAGACAGCCTAAGTTCTCTCAAATACAGACAGCTAAGGTATATACTTCTAAAATCAGGGTAGAATGTCACCCAAATTTCAAATGTTCTGAGACAAATTCAGATATGGAAAAATTAGATATATTTATTTGCCACTCTGACTATGCAATTTTTAAATAAAGGATAACTTTATCCTTTTATATATAGGTGACCTAAGCTAACCTACTAGAGTTTTTAACTCACTTTGATTTTTATGTTTATCATATACAGTATAAAGAACAAGAAATACTTTCTACTTGCTATAGTTCTTTTTTTGTTTCTGAGTAAATATAAGAAATTTATTCCCACTCTTAAATCAAAGTATTCCCAAATAATTTGAAAGTAATGAATAGTTTTCAAGTAGCAGATATTTTTTATTATATCACAATCCTCTGAAATCTTAAAACCAAGATCAATTGATTATATGTTTACATACAGGTAATTAAAATCAGGACAGAAAAATGATAAGCAGTCATTTGTGAAGTGCATGTTTTTATCTTTGCAAGGTGTTCACCTTTAGTTGCAGTGCCTTCTCTAAGTTTTCAATCTTCCTCTCAGCTCTTCTCAGCTTCCTTAGCTCCTCTGAGTCTCTGAAAGAGCTCTTTGGGGACAAAGACCTTGAACGTTTCACAGGTGGTTCCTTGAGAATAAAACAAGGACACAGTTGAACTAGTTGAAACACTGGATTATGAAAGACATGCAAAATTAAAGAATAAGTAATTTTGAATACTAATAATGAATTATAAAAAAAAATCCTGCATGGAATACCAGAGAAATAACAAGCGGAATTACCACAGTGCTACCGCTAAAGGTTTCTCTGTGACTCCTTAATGAGAATATTCATTTACATTTACATTGTTTCTTTCAGAATAATGATGTCCCATTAGGGAAGACTAAAGGGTTATAGACTCAAAAATGCAAGAAACCTCATTACAAAGGAGGGGATAGAGGCTGGTCTAATTGCTCTATAAGGGTCCAAGGTTACACTTGATAGGACAACCAGAAACAAGAGGGAAAGGATTTTTTTTCCCTTTGAAATAGTTTAACACACTGTGAAGTTGAAGGAACAATATGCTTGAGGAATATAAATACAACAGACAGTAGATCTTATACCATAATGACCATATGGTCATTAACTATAATGTGGTTAACTAGAGACCAGAATGTGTGTTTATATTATGTACAGCTTCATGTACCAATCTGGAGAAGGAAAATGTGGAAGCAACTATTAAGCTGGGCAACACAGTGCACATGCTTACTGCATATCCTTACAGAAAATAAACTTTTATTCAAAATACACCTCTCCTTTTAACTTTTATTAAAAGTAGTGAAACATCAAAGTAGTACATTTGTAAAATTCAGAAACACAGCAACCTTGTATTTTTCCTTCAGCAACCAAATTATATCCTATAATGTTATATTGCAATTTTGATTTTTTTTCATTTACGTAAAGCTTGGGAAACTACAAAATGGCAACAAATGGATAATAATTATGTTTTAATAAAAAAATAAAACACATTGCTCTGAAAAGTACTAATAACAGTATAGGGAATAATATATTAGGGTATAAAAGTACCAAGGAAACATGAGTCTAATTTTAAATTGTTCCTTTATTGATAGTTTATTTTGCTCAAAAGAAAAAAGGAGAAAACCAAAAATAATTATCTTGAAAACATAGTTTTTCACATATAAAATACATTCTTTCTCTACTGCTGATGTAACAAGTATAAGAAAAATATGTCTACAGATCAGTAGGGAAATGTTACTTCAACTTATATAACAATATTATATTTAAAGTGATACTATAGAATTTTTACATAATCAATATTCTTTAGAATCTTTTGCAGCATACCACAGATGATTCTTTGCTACTAATACCCCTTTTAATCTATACAATAGATGTGTATGAATTAATATTAAAATCCATTATTTTATATTCTATAGGGACAGTAGTTTAAATTTTATATCAGAATGAACTATAATACAATTTTTTAATTAGAAAACTAAGTAAATGACCAATAACATCTTTAAATGAATGCTTAAGAGCGATGAATATATCAGATAGATGAGAGATACTCATCAAAAGATTTTACAAAAATCAGTTTAGTGGCAAAACAGGTATACTAGTAATACACTCAATTAATTTTGGAAAATATTATTTGGTCTTTAAAAAGGGAATACTTCCACTCCTAGGAGTTATTTTACCAAAAATTTGTAACAGATTCTTTTTTTAATTCCCAGAGATGTAAGCAGAGTACATGTTATTGTTTTTTTTCAACTTCATCTCTTGCTTTGCCAGCCTTATCCTGACAAATTTACAAAATGATAAAATGTCTCTACCTTATATTTTCCTTCAGCACTTGTCATGACGCTCTTCTCTGAGGAACTCTTGTTGGCAGATCTGTTCTCAGACAACTTTTCATTTGCTTTTTTCAGTTTCTCTTGTAAATACTCTATTTCAGACTTCTGTGAGACCATTAATGTTTCCAAGCTTGATAATGATGGGTGTTGAGATACCTGTTTTTAAAAGTATAACTATATATGTTTGTATTTCAGACTAGCTTAAAATACATGGAAATATTTATATAGATTATATAAATCATCAGGAATCAGGGAAAATTTATTTTAACAATAAACTATAAATTACAGGGGCTGGGAGCATAGCTCTCAGCAAATATTTAATTTATCTATGGAAATATTTGTATAGATTATATGAATCATAAGTAATCAGGGAAAAACTTTCACTTTAGCACTAAACTACAAATAAATTACAGGGGCTGGGAGCACAGCTCGATGGTAGAGCACATGCATGGCATCAAAGGCCCTGGGTTCAAATTCCAAGGACCACATGTTCAAAACATACATGTTTGTATATATGATGGTTATACACCAACAAGGGGAAATATCACCTCTTTTCTTTTATACTCTTTTCTTTTTTGGTAAGATAGCAAATTTTTTCTAATTCTATAATTTTTGTGATGCTGAGGCCATCTTTGATTTGTACTATTACACTTTCCTCATATACAAATCACCTGATTTATTTTCCGGTCCTTATTCTATCATACACCTAAGTATTTTCTTCAAAGTACTGTTTTATTGTATTATCAGTTAATCCTTTATTTTGAACATGAAAATACTTTAAGCATTTTACTTCCAGGAAATCTAAACGATTTTGTTCTATTCTTTCTTCCCTTCTCTGAGCACTACATAGCTTTTACTCTATTATTTTTCCCCCTATTTTATAATCAAATTTATGATGTTTACCAATATTTCCTTTGATCAGATGTTAAGTTAATCCTACTCTTTTCCAGAGTTCCATTAATAAAATTATGAAAGCTATATTAACAACCTTTCATTTAATATATAAATTTTGAATAATTTATTCAAGATCAAACAAAAATATAGAATAAAAAAGAAGGAACAATTTTAGTTTACTAGTATATCTAATAAGCAATCTAGTATTCTTTAAAAAATAAATTTGCTAAGTCATCAACAGGTTATAATACTATAGTTAAGAATATAAAAAATATTCAGCCAACAAGCTATTGTAATAATTCAAAATTCACAATGAAATTAAAAATCTTCCAACAACAGATATTACTGAAATCATGACTTTTTTCTAACACTATTTGTTTTTATTATTATTTCTATTATTTATGCAGCATCCTCTCAGAAGTCCTCAATGAACAGTAACATTAAGATTAAAGTACTATGAAAATAGTGATAACTCAAATTCACATAGGAACCAGGAAGACAAAGTGAATAAATAAATATAAGTTGCATTTGGTTTGCTTTAAAACAACAGCATTTAAATTAATTTAATACAGGCATTTGTACATATTTAAACACAGATATAGTCTTCATTTCCACAAAATAAATTGAAATGTTTTGATTTTCTTTAAATAAGGCTTTCATTCCCTCTTAACTTTTATTACGTTTTTGGTTAGAGATATATTATTTCTTTTTTTTTTTTTTTTTGGTACTGAGGATCGAATTCTGGACCTTGCACTTGCAAGGCAGGTGTGGTGCCACTGAGCTAAATCCCTGGCTGTATTATTTCTTAATACATCCATTTTTTTTCCTTAACTATAAGCAACATGACCTGTCAACTCTGAATCTTTTTGTTAAGGAATAAGAAGTATATTTGTGGCTACTGCTAATCAACTCTAGAAAGTCTTTTTATAGAGAAATATGGCCTCATAATGCAGGATTTTCTAATTTTTCAAGAGATGCAAGAAATAAGAATTTCTAAGGGAAATCCACAAATGTTCAAATGTTGGTTGGGTCCAGTTTATGATTTCTGTACTTTGAAAACATGACATGGAAGTAAAATCTGCTACAGATATTCTAGAGAATTTTTGAAATATGAATCAAAGCTCATAAAAATGTACCAAGCTTTGATTTAGGATTCTATATATGCTAAGGATTGAGATGGAAATGTATGTGTGATAAATAAATTCAGTGAGAAAAGCAGACTTCAATATACTATACTTTACTATATATAGATGTATATTGCACCATAGACACATTAAAAATATTCCTGAAAGCCAGGTATGGTGGTACAGACCTGTAATCCCAGAACTCAGGAAGTTAAGGCAGGAGGATTGCTGTGAGTTCAAGCCAGTCTGGGTTACACTGTGGGTCCAAGGCCAGCCTGAACTACACATGAGACCCTGTCTCAAAAAAAAAAAAAAAAATCCTGGGCTGGGGATTTAGCTCAGTAGTGCCGCCACCTGCCTCACAAAC